GAGTTGAAATGGTTCGCGACTGGGAGGTGCAGTTGTTTGTTGCGAACCGAGCGTAGGTGTTCTGCAAAGCGGTCCCCGAGTCTCCGCTTGGTTTCCCCGATGTAGAGGAAGCCACACCTGCGATGTCAGCCTCTCTGCTCCTATGATGCTGCTTGGCCTGCTGTGTTCATCCAGCCCTGCACCTTGTTGTCTGGGTTTACTTTTGTTCGGCAGTAATATGGATGAGGAGATAGAAGGCATGGTTAGTAAGTTTGCAGATGATACCAAGATTGGTGGTATAGTGGACAATAAAGAAAGGCATCTAAGATTACAAAGATCTTGATCAATTGTGAATGGACTGAAGAGTGGCAGATGGAGTTTAATTTGGATGAATGCAAGGTATTGCATTTTTGGTAAAACAAACAAGATGTGTCCAGTTGAAAGCAGGGTTTGGGTGGTGTTGTAGAACACAGAGAGACCTCGGGCTTGCAGTACATAATTCTTTGAAGTTTGCATTACATATAGACAGGGTGTTTAAGAAGGGGTTTGGCACGCTTGCCTTCATTGCTCAGACCTTTAAGTATAGGAGTTGGGATGTTATGTTGAGGTTGTACAGGACATTGCTGAGTCCATATGCTGTAGGGACACCCACAATGCCATTAGGGAGAGAATTCCAGGATTTTGACCCTGCGACACTCAAGGAACAGCGACATATTTCCAAGTCAGGATGGTGAGTGGCTCAGAGGGGAACTTACATGGGGTGGTGTTCCTGTGTCCTTCAAGTTGGAAGTGGTCGTGGGTTTGGAAGGAGCTGTCTGAGATGTTGAACAGAGTGCTGGGAGTTGGATGAGTGACGAGTTGGGGAAGGAGGTGCTGTTTTGACTTTTTGTTTCTAAGTTTCTGACCCTTTAGGAATTCTTACTCTCTTACATGAGGCAATGCCAGGTTGAGTTGTTGAGTGGCAGCACTGGTGATGCGTCACAGCTGCAGCATGTGGGAGCTCCTGACTGTCAGTGTGGTCCTTGGCAAATAAGCCAGCAGCTTGAGGAGGATCAGCACAGATTCACTGTGCTGGAGACCTGGCTGCAGACACAGACACATCATGGAGGGGACAAGTTACCCCGAATGTTTTATACCTGAAGGCAGTCACGTTCTTTAGGATTAAACCTTCTGCTTTACACAGTTGCAAGGGCCAGAGGAGTGGGGCTGTACCTGAGGCATGTAAGAGGACCCAGAGGGCAGGAGGTACAAGAGTCTCGGCTCACACTGTTGTTGCAACTGGTTTAACGTTCTTTTAGCTTGATCAGTCCCCGGGCAAAATTCACCATTTAGAGCCGTAGGACATAGAACACAGAACAGTACAGCACAGTACAGGCTCTTCAGCCCATGATGTTGTGCCGAAATTTTACCCTAAACCTAAGGTCTATCTAACCTCCACCCCTACCTTATACTATCATCCATATGCCTATCTAATAGCCGCTTAAATGCCCCTAATGAGGCCGACTCCACTACCCTCTCAGGCAATGCATTCCACGTCCCTACCACTCTCTGACTAAAGAACCTACCTCTGTCGTCTCCCCTTTATCTACCTCCACTCACTTTAAAACTATGTCCCCTCATAATAGCTATCTCCACGCTCGGAAAATGTCTCTGGCTGTCCACTCTATCTATACTTCTGATAGAGATGTACAGCGCGGAAACAGACCCCTCGGTCCAACTTGTCCATGCCGACCCGATATCCTAAATTAATCCAGTCCCTTTTGCCAGCATTTGGCCCATATCCCTCTAAACCCTTCCTATTCATGTACCCATCCAGATGCTTTTTAAATGTTGTAACTGTACCAGCCCCCACCACTTCCTCTGGCAGCTCATTCCATACACGCACCACCCTCTGTGTGAAAAAGTTGCCCCTTAGGTCCCTTTTAAATCTTTCCCCTCTCACCTTAAACCTATGCCTCTCTAGTTTTGGACTTCCCTACCCTGGGGAAAAGACCTTGTCTATTCACCCTATCCATGCCCCTCATGATTTTATAAACCTCTATAAGGTCACCCCTCAGCCTCCGATGCTCCAGGGAAAATAGCCTCAGACCATTCAGCCTCTCCCTGTAGCTCAAACCCTCCAACATCCTTGTAAATCTTTTCTGAACCTTTTCAAGTTTAACAATATCCTTCCTATAGCAGGGAGACCGGAATTGAAGGCAGTTTTCCAAAAGTGGCCCTAACCAATGTCCTGTACAGCTGCAACATGACCCTCCCAACTCCTATACTCAATGCACTGACCAATAAAGACAAGTGTACCAAACACCTTCTTCACCGCCCTGTCTACCTGCGACTCCACTTTCGAGGAACTATGAACCTGCACCCCAAGGTCTCTCTGTTCAGCAACACTCCCCAGGACCTTACCGTTAAGTGTATAAGTCCTGCCCTGATTTGCCTTTCCAAAATGCAGCACCTCACATTTATCTAAATTAAACTCCATCTGCCACTCCTCGGCCCATCGGCCCATCTGATCTAGGTCCTGTTGTACTGTGAAGTAACCTCATTGAAATCCTTTTGTCCTGTTTCTTTTTAACTAGTGTGCGGGCTTCTAGCAATCAGAATGAGTGTTTCACTTGCAGTGCCATCTTTGACTGTAATCTTCACAGCACACGAGTGCTCCAACCCAGGCAATGCAATGCACATACCTCAGCCCCCTGGCACACACAAACAGCTCAGTTCAACAACAACACCTTCTTCCCCTAGCACCTACAGACCAGAGTTGAACTGAATTTTAATCCCCGTTTTTGTGACACAAAACATGTCTCGCACCAGACTCCTGTTTTCTCTCCCATCGTGTTGACAGTTTGAGATAACTCACTGGTGATTTCAGTTCACTTTGCAACGCATTTTCTGTCCTTTTAGGTCCATCTCTTTGATGCTTCCTTGACACCTGTCAGATGTGACATTCCAGGGTCTCTGTCTCTCCACTGAACTTACACCTTCTTTGACTTTTCTGTATTCATTCGTGTGATGAGGGTGTTGCTGGCTGGGCTAGCATTTATTGCCCATTTCCAATTGCCCAGTCAACCCCATTGCTGTGGGTCTGGAGTCACGTGTAGACCAGATAAGGATGGCAGAGTGCGTTCCCCGAAGGACATTAGTGAACCAGATGTTTTTTTTTTGACAATCAACAATAGATTCCCGGTCATCATTACGTTCTTAATTCCAGATTATTTTAAAAATTAATTCAAATTCCACCATCTGCCGTGGCGGGATTTGAACCTGAGTCCCCCAGAACATTACCTGTTTCTCAGGATTAATAGTCCAGCGATAATACCACTAGGCCATGGCCTCCCCTTTTGGCTGCATTAGACCTCTTTTAAAAACATAACTTGGAATTAAAGCATGATATATCCATCAATGATCTAGCATTATGATCTGTGACCATCACACTCTCTTACTCTCTGTCTTTCACATGTTGTTTCTGACTCCCCCCCACTCTCCCTCTGTCTCTCTTGCTATCTGACTACCCCTCCATCTGTATCTCACACTCTTCCCCCCACCTTGTCTCTTTCTGCCTGTATTTCACTCTCTTCCTCTGTCTCTCCTCCAACTCTGTCTGTATCTCACACTGTCTCCCTGGGTCCCTCTTTATCTGGCTCCCTAACTCTCTCTGTATCTCACTGTCTCCCTCTGTATCTCACTCTATCTCCCTCTCTTTCAATCCGACTCCCTTTCTGTCTGTATCACACTATCTCTCCTTGTCTCTGTCTCTCTATATGACTGTCTTTCCATCTGTATTTCTCCCTGTTTATCTGAGTCTCTTTCTATTTGTATGTCACTTTCTCTCACTCTGTCTCTATCTGACTCTCTCTATGTCTCTAGCTTTTTCCCTGCCGACTGCTGTCCTCTTCAGACACTCCAGGGGATTGCCAATCTTATGTAAACCTCCACCCCCACCTTACCTGACCTGCTTGATTACTGACAATGTTTTTTCATCTCTCTTCCACAACTCCCTCTGTGAGCCCCACTCCCATCTCTCCACCCCCACTCGTCGTGCTAAATTCCGATCTCCTCTCTCTCTCGACAGATATCGACCATGACTTCAAGACTCACCTGGAGACTCTGGTCCACACTCTACTCAGTCCTGAGAACCTGGTGGAAAAAGAGATCGGAGGCTCCAAGGTCACCTGCAGGAACCTGCTGGAATATTTCAAGGTGGCTGCCCCCACTTAGACACCTCTCCCCGACTCCTCCCTGACATTCTCACATCGCAGGCTGTACAAACCGCTCAGTCCCTGGGGTGAGAGAAAACAGAAACAGCTAACCTCCCCCCCCCAGCCGCCTCGCTTCTCACGTGGGCATTTTCACTGAACGTTAGACAGTACAGGCTGGAGGAGGTGACACAGATGGGGGAGGCGGTGTAGGGGCTGGAGGGGGTGACAGAGATAGGGAGGGGGTGTAGGGGCTGGAGGGGGTGACACAGATGGTGGGGGTGTAGGGGCAGGAGGGGGTGACAGAGATAGGGAAGGGGTGTAGGGGCTGGAGGAGGTGACAGAGATAGGGAAGGGGTGTAGGGGGTGACATAGATAGGGAGGGGGTGTAGGAGCTGGAGCGGGTGACAAAGATAGGGAGGGGTGTAGGGGTCGGAGGGGGTGACAGAGGTAGGGAGGGGGTGTTGGGACTGGAAGAGGTTACAGCGATACATAAGGAGATGAGAAGGGATTGGTAATTTGAAATGCAGACCCTGTGGCCTGGAAGTCAGTGTGAGACAGTGAAGAGAGAGATTGGTGTTTGAATGGGATATGGAACGGTTTAGCTGAGTTTGGGATGAGGACAACAGTTGGGAGTAGGCCAGGAGGGAGATGGAACAGTGGAGTCTGGAGCTCCCCTGCACTCTGTGAGCTGAGGCTTTGGGTTGGTCTGGGTGAGGTTCCAGCCTCACTCTGTGTCTACTGTCATATCTGACACGTCCCCCCACCCTTACCTGTTTTGTCCCTTTATTTTGTGATTCAGGTTTATATTAAAGTTTTCCAAGGTGAGGACCTCCCGCATCCCAAATCCATCCTGGAGGTAAGAGCAAGTGTTCATTGTAGCATGATGTGGTCGTTCCCATGGACAGGGACTCCTAGGAATGTGGGTGGTAGGTGGCTGGTTGCTGTTATGAAATGGCTGATATGTGTCCATTCCAATCCCAATTAGATTTCTTTCCAAGAAGCTTGGCACAGTGGCTCAGTGGTTAGCACTGCTGCCTCACAGTGTTTGGTTCCACCCTCGGGCAACTGTCTGTGTGGAGTTTGCACATTCTCCCCGTGTCTGCATGGGGTTCCCTCTGGGTGCTCCAGTTTCTTCCCACAGTCCAAAGATGTGCAGGTTAGGGTGGACTGGCCATGGGAGATGCAGGGTTATGGGGATTGGGTGTGGGGGGTGGTTGGGATTCTCTTCGGAGGGGTGGCGTAGACCCGATGGGCAGAATGGCCTGCTTCTACACTACAGGGGATTCTATGGTTCCATGATGATAATGTGTGAAGGTAGTGATCTCAGGAGGATGTGGGGTTCCTGAGGCCGAATGTTTCAGGGAAATGTGTTTCCTCATTTTGGAACATCTCCGTTGAAAGCTGCAGGTCTTCTCGGGTATCCACAGCCCTGTGGCACTTCCGCCATTCCCCCGACTGGATCGAGGCCCCTCTGTACTGCCTGGCTGTTCAACTGTGCAAGGCATTGCAACCATCCTGCCATTGCCTGGCATTCTGCACAACATGCCAGCTTTCTGTGGATGATGGTTAAGGAATAAGGTTCATACTCCTCTCCCATGTGACAGATCCCCTTCCTCTTCCCCCTCCCACTCTCCCTCAACACCTCTCCCTTTCCTCCCTCTCCCTTCCTCTCTCTCCCTCTACGTCTCCCTTTCCCTCTTCCTCCACCCTTTCTCTCTCTATCCTTTCCTCTCCCTCCATCCCTTCCCTCCTCCTCCACCCTTACCTCTTTCTCCATTCCCTCTCTTTCCCCTCATCATCCACCTCTGTCTCCCAATTGACCCCTCTCCTCTCCCTGCCTCTACCTCCTCCCTCTTCCCCCTTACACCATCTCCTCCATCCTCTCCTCCCGTCCACCAGCCCCTCCTCCTTCCTCTGCCATCTCGTTTTACCCCTCTCTCTCTCTACCCCTACGCCTTTCCCCTCTCTCTCCAATCCCACCTCCTACCTCCCTCTCTCTACCTCTATCTCTTTCCTCTGTCTGTCCCTATCTCCTTCCCTCTCTCTCTCTGTCCCTATCCCTTCCCGTCTCATTGTCTACCCCGATCCCTTCCCCCCACCACTCTCCACCTGCACCCCTTCCCTCCCTCTCTGTCCACCCCCACCCCTTTCCCCACTCTCTCAGCACCCCCACCCCCACCTCTCCCCCCACTCTCTCTGTCTCTCCACCCCACACCTTCCCTCACTCTCTCTCCATCCCCACCCCCAGTCCTTCCCCCGCCCCTCTCTCTCCACCCCCACCACCTTCAGTCTCACTCTACCCTCTCCCTACCCCATTCCTGTCCTCCTGGCTTCCCTCTTCTCTCCTCCGTCCATTTCCAACCTTCCCGCCCGACTGCCCCCACAACCCCTCCTGCCTCCAGGTCCAATTCTCTCCCCTCGCATCCCCTCACCAACCCTCTTCTCTCCGTCTCCCCTCCCTCTGCATCTCTGCTCCACCTCCGTCTCTCGCCCCTCTACCCTCTCCCCTTCCTCGGGGGAGGAGGACTCTCTCTCACTTCTCCCACTCCCCAATCCCCCAGTCGCCCACAGTCTGGGCTGTAGACCTCCTTATCCACCCTCCCACTGCTGCTTGGCTCTTGGTGGTACTGTCTCCACCTGATGTGGCCATGAGGAAACAGTGGGGGGAGCGTGGGATGTGTGGGTGAGCTCAGGGGCCGGGATATTGAACACAGAGTCGGAGCGGTCAGTCTGCTCGGTTTGACCGGCCTTTGTGCTAAAGTAACAATCCCCTCTTGTCTCCAACAGGCAACAGCTGAAGCCAACAACCTAGCTGTGATTGCGTTGGCCAAAAACTATTACCAGAAAGCCATGGAGGGGGTAGGGAGAGCTTTTCATTACCTTACCCAAAGCGTGTTTGCCCCCAGTCTCCCCCTCACCCAAATCATCAACAGAAAGACCTATTCAAAACACTGCGTCTTTCAGGCTCCTGTCCCATTTCACTTCTCTGCCACCCCACACTGTCTTCAGAAAGGTTCTATGTCAGTGCAGGTCTTTCTTTAAACTGGAAACATGGTAACAGGTTGTCCTGCCCATTACTGCTGGCCCGACCTCCTGCCGTCTCCCCGCCATCCTTTATCGCTCGTGTTCACCCAGCTTCCCGTTTAAACATTTTTGATCGCATTCCCCGCGATCGCTGCCCTAGGAGGGGAGTTCCATACTCTGCCCGCTCCCCGGATGAAGAGGTTTCTCCTCGATCCTGGAATGGATTCATTTAGCAACTGCCTTACTGCTCGCCCATGCTCTGACCCGAGTTCTGATCCCATAAAACAGTTTCAAGGGACAAAATGGCCTGCTGTTCCTGTGCTACAGGGTTGAAAGACTCTTTCCTGCTCCTGGGTAACAGGCTCAGGGAGGGGGCTGAATGGCGGCCTCCTGTTCCTGTGTGACAGGTTGGAGGAAAGGGGGCTGAACAGCCTCCTCCTGTTCCTGTGGGACAGGCTCGAGGAGAGGGCTGAACGGCCTCCTCCTGTTCCCGTTTGACAGGCTCGAGGAGGGGGCTGAATGGCCTCCTCCTGTTCCCGTGTGACAGGCTCGAGAAGGGGGCTGAATGGCCTCCTCCTGTTCCTGTGTGACAGGTTGGAGGAGGGGGCTGAATGGCCTCCTCCTGTTCCTGTGGGATAGGTTGGAGGAGGGGGCTGAATGGCCTCCTCTTGTTCCTGTGGTCTGAACTCTGTTCCCCTGCCTTTCAGCTGTGCGGAGGGGATAAGGCCTACGTGCAGCCCAGCAAGATCCGGGAGAGGCACCGAGTGTACCGCGAGGCGGCCGTTGAGAAGTTCCGAGCGACGAAGAAGATGGGCAGGCAAGCCCTGATCATGCAGCATGAGGACCAGCTGGTGAGGAACATCGAGGAGATGCTGGACAGTTACCTCAGGTTCAACCAGAGCAAGAACTTCTTCAGCCTCGTCCGCACGCCCAGTGCCATGCTGCTGCTGATAATCAGCATGCACGTCATCTCCGGCTTCCTGAGCCTGCTCGGACTTGGCTTTCTCTCTGTCATCTTCAACTTTGTCATCGGCATATGCTCGCTCACCCTCATGACCTGGTCCTACATCAAGTACACAGGGCAGAGCCCACTGCTGGGAGAGATCATCGACACCATCAGTGATAAGATCCTCAGCGGGGTGAGTGAAAGCTGTGTCTCTGCCCTCGCTATTGCCGCTGCCCCCCCCCACCCCTTACTTCCGGCTGTCACCTTCAGGGGGACTAGGGGTGTCTGGTGACCAGCTGTCCCTAAACCGGGGTGGTTAGGGTGGATCCCACCCCCATCCAGATCCCCCGGAGTGGGAAGGCAAGGTCGGTCTTAAATCCATCTTCCCCCCCCAACTCCACCACAATCCTGGATTCGCCACTCTATTTGACAGATTCAACTTCCACTTGTAACCGTTGGGAGGGGGTGGGAATCTCGGCTGGTCTCCGCCCTTCAGGAACATTTGGAGGGTTGGTGTGGACTTGATGGGCCGAATGGCCTGCTTCCACGCTGTAGGGATTCTGTGATTTCCTGCACCTGCTGGCCTTCATTAGAGATGAGAGGATTGTAATCCCTGGGGGGGAAATGGAGATTGAGGACAGATGGTGATGGGTTTAGATAAAGATGGACAACCTGCTCCCATTTGCTGGTGGTGTGAGGCAGGGTTTCCCACGGTGGGGTTTAGGACCCTGACTGGGTTCAGGGTACAGATCACTGAGGTAGCATTGGGAACTCCGAACTGAGTTCCCCCCCACCTCTAACACTCTACCCTCCCAAACTAGTGTACCACTCCCTCTGGGACACCCTAACCCATTCCACAACCACCAACACCACCCCACCTCTCCACAGCACCTTCCCATGTAACCGCAGAAGAGGCAACACCTGCCCCTTCACCTCCTCCCTGCTCACCATCCCAAGGCTCTAAACTGTCTTTCCAGGTGAAGCAGCATTTCACCTGTACCTCCTCCAATCTGGTGTATTGCATACACTGCATCCAATGTGGCCTACTCTACATTGGAGAAACCAAACACAGACTGGGTGATGGCTTTGCAGAACACCTCTGGTCCGTGCGCAAGCATGACCCCTGACCTTCCCGTAGCTGGTCATTTTAACACAGCGTCCTGCTCATATACCCACTTGTCTGTCCTCGGCGTGCTGCAATGCTCCAGTGAATCTCAGCAGAAACTGGACGAGCAACATCTCATCTTCAGCCTTCTGGACTTAATATTGAGTTCAACGCCTTTAAATTGTGAACCACTTCTTCCCTTTTAGCTTGTTGTCCTCCCATCCCCCTATCCCAGTGGGACTGTCTGTTCTTTCCACGTCTGGCAGGAGACACACCACTGTTCTGTCATTCTCACTTTCCGATCTGTACTGTCAACATCTTTTCTCCATCAGCACCCTACACTCACTACCCACCCCCTCCACCCCCCCCAAGCTATAGTATAAATGCTGCCCCCTCCACACTTCACGTCAGTTCTGATGAAGAGTCTTCTAGACTCGAAACGTAAGCTTGCTCTCTCTCCACGGATGCTGCCTGACCCACTGTGATCTCCAGCATTTGCTTTCAGTACAGATCCCAGCATCTGCAGTAATTTGCTCCTGTCCCACTCTCTCAGTTCTCACTGAGGGGTCCCAACAATTCTCAAGATTCAGTTTGCAGTTACATTGGGAAAGTCTGGTGTAGAGGGGCTGTGGATTGAAGGCAAGGCCAGCACAGTTGTGTGTGTTTGTGTGTGTGTCTGTGCGTGTGAGTTCGTGTGTTTGTGTGTGTGTGTCTGTGCGTGTGAGTTTGTGTTTGTGTGTGTGTGTCTGTGTGAGTTTGTGTGTTTGAGTGTGAATGTGTATGTGTGTGTGTGAACGTGTGCACGCGTGTGTCTGTGTGCGCGTGCGCGTGTGTCTGTGTGCGCGTGTGTAAGTGTGTGTGTTTGTGAGTGAGAGTGAGTGTGTGTGAACGTGTGTGTGAATGTGTGTCGCATGTGTCTGTGTGTGAATGTGTGTGTGTATGTGTGCGCGTGTGTGTGAACGTGTGTGTGTGAATGTGTGCGCGTGCGCGCATGTGTGTGTGTGTGTGTGTGTGTGTGTGAATGTGTGCGCGCGCGTGTGTGAATGTGTGTGTGTGCGCATGTGTGTGAATGTATGTGTGTGCGCGCGCGTGTCTGTGTGCGTGCGCGTGTCTGTGTGCGCGCGTGTCTGTGTGTGAATGTGTCTGTGTGTGTGTGTGTGTGAGAGAATGTGTTTGTGTGTGTGTGTGTGAATGTGTTTGTGTGTGTGTGTGTCTGTGTGTGTGTGTGAATGTGTGTGTGTGTCTGTGTGTGTATGTGTGTGTGTGTGAATGTATGTGTGTGTGTCGTGGGGGTGTGGTGGGAAGTATGAGTTGAGGGGTTTGTACCCTAACCCTATCGAACTCTGTGCCTATAAGAGGGTGCAGGTGGAGGCAGTGAGTAATTTCGAAAGTGGGTCGGACAAACATTCGAGGGGGAACAGACTTGCATGGGCCACAGGATGAACAGACCGGGACTGAAGGGTTGGCTCTCCCGAGAGCTAGCCTGGGCTGGGTGTAGGCCAAGCAGCCTCCTTCCCATGGCGATGCGACTAACTCCCAGTGCTGACGGGGCACTTCTGGGTGTTGGGTGGGGAGTGGAGTCTTGGGGATACAGCTTTTGAGGGGGGTCAGTGAGATTGTTCCAATAGAAAGACCAGGGGTCAGAAGAGTACAGCACAGGAACAGGCACTTCGGCCCACAAGGTTGTGCGGAACTTGATGCCAGGGGCTGGGAGGCAGCCCTTCCCCACCACCCGGGCCCAATGGCCACGCATTTGAGTTCCGTTCGGAGACTTTTTGGGAGCTTGCTGTGCATTATATGGTAGCGCAGCACCTATGGTACAACTGGAATGGGTGTGGGGGGTGCGGAATGCCACTTTGTGCCTCCGTCCCAGGTGGCAAAAGACATTTCCGAAATGCGGGCCCCACCTTCAGATCATCAAGATGCAAACACGGTTTTAGCTAATGAGGGCTGTGTCTTGATTTGGCAGGTCACAAACGCGATATTGACTCGGTTAAGGAACTCCGAGCAGGCGACCCTGATCACTGGCCTGGTGCAAGCCGCAAGGAACCAGTGAAGGTTTTACTCTGGCACAGGCTCGGGGGCAAGCTCCCTCCCTCCTGACTAACGTGCCAAAGCACCTTCCGACAAGGCTCGCTCTCTCCACTGTCTCCGTCACAAAGCAGGAACGTGGGGCCGAGAGCTTAGTCCTCCTCCTGGTCTGAGCACAGAAGACTCTGAGAGGTGGTGCCAAGAGGAGGCTAATCCAAGGTCACAGCCCACTGGAGAACAGACACTGGAATGTCGGTGGGAGGGGTGGCTCATTGCTTAGTCACAAAGTCGGGGTGGGAGAGGCATCAGGGGTTTGCTGTGGTTTGTGGCTCTCTCAGCCTCGCCCCTCTTCCACACCCCTACTGCTCTGTCACCCTCCTCTGGCCCTCCACGTGTTCCCTTTTCCCTCTCTATCATGCATCAGCCAGACCCCTAGGGAATGACATTCCTGGGTCAAATGGTCATGGGTTTGACGTTATCAATGCTGAGGGAGCGGGCACTGTCGGAGGGTCAGTGCTGAGGGAGTGGGCACTGTCGGAGGGTCACTGCTGAGGGAGTGGGCACTGTTGGAGAGTCAGTGCTGAGGGAGCACTGCACTGTCGGAGGGTCAGTGCTGAGGGAGTGCCGCACTGTCGGAGGGTCAGTGCTGAGGGAGCGGGCACTGTCGGAGGGTCAGCGCTGAGGGAGTGCCGCGCTGACCTGTCTGAGGGTCAGCGCTGAGGGAGCGCCGCACTGTCTGAGGGTCAGCGCTGAGGGAGCGCCGCACTGTCTGAGGGTCAGTGCTGAGGGAGCGCCGCACTGTCGGGGGGTCAGTGCTGAGGAACAGTGTTGTTTTGGGGGAGCATATTGCTAGGCAGCATGTGGCTGTTGTCTTTCTCTGGTTGTGTTAACCCCTGACTCTTGACTTGCTACCCCCAACCCCAGCCCTCGTACCTCCTCTACGCAGGGTGCCCTTCCCACTGTTTGCAGGAATTCAGCCCCGTCCAGCACAGCTTCTCTCTCTTTCTCCAGGGGCAGACCAGCTCAGCTGTCCATCTCCCCCATCCCTCCCTGTCCTACTGAGAATTTATCATCACTGTTGAGCTCCCACCGAACCCAAACAGGGAGTCACTGTCACCACCATCCTCTGAGGAAGATTTGGCGAGTCACAGAACATGTTGCTACTGAAAACTAAAAGCAGAAAAACCAACTGGGAATCCGATTTGGGTTGTTCCATCAATAGCAAGCATGTAAGGAGAATTGGGAAATCACACAGGGAGTGGACACTGGGTCCTGGGTCAATTGCCATCTGCAGACAGTTCCTGAACTGTCCCATGGTCACTCTCGGGGCAAGAGTTGGATATACACAGAAAATAGGGCCGCAGGATCAAAGTTAAGAATTCTCGTAAAAAGCTGGAGGTGGAGGAGATCAGGAAAACAGATCCTTCCCTCTTTCCGTTGGACATGGACAGAGATGCATGCAGCTCCTGTGATTGAATAGCCCACCATCACGAACACTGCAGATTTGAGTTGCCCCATAGGCTGCCAGTGTAAACCTTCCATTAAACCCCCCCCCCCAACACACACACACATGCACATGCACATGCATGCACATACACACGCACGCACACACACACACACACATATACGCACACGCATGCACGCATACGCACATATGCACACACATGCACCATGCAACTTCACACGCATGCACATCCACACACACACATATACACACACACGTACACACACAGATGTAACTTCACATGCATGCACATACACACACACACGCATGCACATACACACATGCACATACACATGCAACTTCACACGCATACACGTGCACACACACGTACACACACATGCAACTTCACACGCATACATGTGCGCGCGCGCACACATACACATGCAACTTCACACACATACACGCGCGCACACACGTGCACACACACACACGTACACATGCAATTTCACACACATACACGTGCACACACACAAGCAACTTCACATGCATACACGTGCACACACATACACATGCAACTTCACACACACACGTGTGCACACACACACATGCAACTTCACACGCATACACATGCACACACACACGTACACATACACATGCAACTTCACACACATACATGTGCACACACACATGCAACTTCACACGCATATACGTGCACACACACACATGCAACTTCACATGCATACATGTGCACACACACACGTACACATACACATACAACTTCACACACATACACGTGCATACACATACACACACACAGACACTTTGACATGTGCACACACCCCATTCTCCAAATCCTGTATCCCTGGCAGCTTGACCAGGTTCCTACCCATCCAGTGTATCCCACAAACCCAGGGAGAGGTGCCCCATCCTTGAATATTTGCCACACTGATGTCCCAGAGCGAACTCCAGCTTTAATGTATGTTTAAATTCAAGAATTAAACTCAATTCTGTAAATCTTTTGGCGTGAAATACTTAACGGCTGAATTATTGGGGTTCACAGGGACACCCATCCCACTACAAATTTAATCTGCTCAGAACCTCAGTCCTGATTTAATCATTACTCTGTAAATTCTGATCAAAAATCTCCTACCTCTGCCCGTCTTTGATGACCCTTAAACCAGTCCTCACTGACAGAAACAAACACAGAAATTGCTGGAGAAACTCAGCAGGTCTGGCAGCATCTGTGGAGAGAAATCAGAGTTAACGTTTTGAGTTGAATGACCCTTCCTCAGAATTGGTTTCTCACTGACAGAGCTTACCCCAGGTGATTTACCCCCTACCCCCACCTTTTGGGCTATTTACCCCTATTCCTGGGTGGATTATACCTTATCCCAGGTTGTTTAACCCTCCAGATCTGCTGAGCTTTTCCAGCAATTTCTGTTTGTGTTATTTAACCCTGTGCCAGGGTGATTTACCACCCCCCCGACCCTGGGTGATTTACCCCCAATCCCTGGGTTATTTATATATATCCCTTGGATTATTTACCCCCTGTTCCCACGTGATGTGCCCCTCTCTGGGTGAGTTACCCCCTATCCCCAGGCTATTTATCTCCTATCCCCAGGTGATCTGCCCTCTCTGGGTGATTTACTCCCTATTC